CCAGGCTTCCCCAAGAGCAGCTGGGGTGCTGCCGGGTTGGTCCCGCCACACCAGGGGTCAACGCTACCAGACCAACTCAGCAGCACTCCAGCTGCTCTGCCCCAGGCGTGTCCGATTCAGCCGCTGCTGGTCAGTTTCCAGTTTTAAGGGATCTTTTAAGATGAGGGATAAGGGATCTTTCGGAAAAGGCTTTATTTTCCAAAAGATCCGCGTCTAGACTGGTGCTTTTTTCCAGCAAAGCTCCGAGCCGGGAAAAAGTGGCAGCCATTTTTATGCTAATGAAGCGGGGGAGATTTAAATCTCCGCTTCATTTGCAATTGTGATATGTCTAATTTGCATCCCTTTTACGAGAAAGGGATGCAGTCTAGACACAGCCCCTATGTATTTTCAGGGGAAGGAATGGTATCAGGGAGGGGCTATTACTGTCTACTATTCCCCGTTCCCCATTTCAGGAACTTGAGCTAGACACTGTAACGGCCAGTGGGGTGTGGAGGAGAGGTAGGCAGGGCTTTATTTTTTTAAGCAGTATGGCACACGTAATGATATCAATGATATCAATCATTTTACATTTAGAAGGCTTTCTTCAAATTCAAACTGCTAGACATTTTCCTTCCACTGTCCAAAAGCAGAAATCAGCATTCACGCTTAAAGGGACAGCAGTATCTTCAATTCTTGGGATTTTATTATGAGTTTCATAATATTTGGGGATTTTGTTAAAACCCCAATTCTTTGGTGCATCTACACTGCACTGTTATTTCAAGATAACCAGTGTTATTTTGAAATAACAATACGAGCGTCTACACAGCCATTCCGTTATTTCAAAATAAATTTGAAATAATGGACAGCTTATTCCAAAATCTGTAAACTTCATTCTACGAGGAATAACACCTATTCTAAAATGGATATTTCAAAATAAGGTGTCTGTAGATGCTCCACTTCTTCTATTTTGAAATAGCCCCTCACCAGGGCCATTCTAAGTTATTCCTTCCCAGTGCCTCCTGGGGCTCTAAAGTGAGATAGTGCGCCTACATTAGGGAAACCTGCCTCAGACTAAATTTGAGGCTTCCCTGTAGTGTAGACATGCTATTTTAAAATTAGCTGTTTTGGAATAACTATTCTGGAATAGCTTATTTTGAAATAAGCATACAGTGTAGACGTACCCTTAGAGGCAGGTGATTATGTAAAAAACCCCTCTGCTTGCATGAAAAGGAATGTTTCTGGACCTCATGGTTGCAGGAAAAAAAAAAGCATAAAAATGTGACAAATGTGCACCCTAAGGGCTCAGAAACCAGAAGACAATTTAAAAGATTTCAACACTAAAACAAATAATAATTTTTAAGGCACTCTTATGATCTTTTGGAACTTGACTCATGATTTTTAAAAGCTTGGGCTTTTAATTTCTGAGTCAGCTACCCAATCATCAGCTGTATTTTTCACCTCACTGTTGCTGCTGGTGTCTGATTACTCTTTAGGCAATTTTGCTTCCTCATCTCCCTCAGGCTACGTCTACACTGCAGAGTTTTTGCGTAAAAATGGCCGTTTTTGCGCAAAAACTCGTGGAGCATCCACACTACAAGCATGTTTTTGCACAAGAAAAAGTACAGTAGATCATCAGAAGACAGGGCTTTTTGCTCAAGAGTTATTGCCCTTTCTTTGAGGAATAATCCTTTTTGTGCAAGAGCTCTTGCGCAAAAAGACATGTGTGGATGGACAACAGGGGTTTCTTGCTCAAGAGTCCGCTATCAGAAAAAGCACAGGTGCTCTGATGGCCATTCTTTGAATGGCCATCTGAGCTTTCTTGCGCAAAAGCGTCCATGGCAGCGTGGATGCTCTCTTGCGCAAAAGCACATGGCAATGTGGATGCGCTCTTGTGCAAGAACTTTTTGCGCAAGATCTCTTCCACAAAAAGTTCTTGTGCAAGAAGCCTGCAGTGTAGATGTAGCCTCAACCTCCAAAGAGTTTCTATAACATGTTGTTTAAAAACTACTGTGTCCTGTACACTAATTCTTAGGGAGATGTAAATGCAAAAGGTATTTGAACTACTGAAACCGTATTGTTTCAAGGTCAATGGGTAAAAATAATGTTGCTAAAGTAAAAAAATAGTAACATTTCCTTACTCTCAAAGTTATAATTCAATAATGATCTGTAATTTGCTTCAAATGTTTAAAAAGATTCAGTTGTCCTGATCCTAAGATTGACATTTTTTCAGTCCTAAAAGAGATTAATCAATTTTTTTTTTGGGGGGGGGGAGAAATTGGAATTTGTGGATACAGTGACGGGGGGGAGGGGTGGGGAGAAATTGGAATTTGTGGATACAGTGACAGTCCAATGCTGAGGGTGATTAGCATCACTTGCATGAGTAGTCCTATTGATTTCAGTGGAACTACTTCCACAAATAAAGTTGCAGTACCAGGATCTGAGATTTCTGTGAGATTTGCAAACAGGGCTTATAAGCAGAGAAGAAAACTTTGTTGCCATTGTAAATATAAGGAGCAATATCAGTGGCCACAGACTAGTATTATTTTTTACTGAACAGGAAGGGGTTTTAAGGCCAAGAAAGACACCTAATATCTTAATATGTTCATTAACAGACACTCCATTTAGAAGACGTCAAAGATGTTTCATTTGGGTTCCAGACAGTAACGTCTGATGTTTCAAAACTCAACTCTTTCTTTTCACTGAAAATGGTCAGACGGCTCTATGTAGAAAAGTCTCTTAACCCTATCAAGGTAAGTAGTTAAGTTATACACTATGTAGGTTTCTTGGCCAAGGTATTACTGGCCAAACAGATCTTATGGTTATCATATATATAGTAGGCCAGTGTCTGAGAGTCTGTAACACTGAAATGCTGGCTGTTCCCTCTGGGGGGTGCTGTTGCCTGAAATGCTGGCTGTTCCCTCTGGACGGCCCATGCTGCATGCGGTGTGACAGCAGCTCCAGGCCCCGGCCCCTGGCTGTGAACATCACCGCCCCGCCCCCCTTTCGCCTCCCGCCGGGGCACGCCAGGCTGCCACGTGGGACCAAGCAGCGCAAGCGACCGTTTGGGCTCAGCGCCTCCCTTGAAGTACGGGGAGTGTGTAGCCCAAATGGCCATTTGGGCTCCGCGGTCCCCCGAGTGAGAGGCAGGACGGGGAGGAGAAGTGAAAGAAAGAGACAGAGAGAGAGCCAGGAGGCGGAGGAGAGCTGAGAGAGAGAGGGGGGAAGGCAGTAGGAGGAGGACAGAGAGAGACGGAGCGAGAGACCGGAGGCTCAGGGAGAAGACCGACGTGGAGGAGATACCTAAAAAACCTGTCTTATTACGGGCTAATTGGCTAGTTCTGATAAAATAGACTATGTCTGGCTATTACTGTGTTGATCTCAGAATTAAAATTCTTTTTCCACTTAATCTGTATTTCTCTCTAAATGATTTTTAATCAAACCAACTTATCAAAATGCTTAGTCTACCGTTGACATTATACAAGTTATTAATAATAAAAATTTCTCCCTATCCATGCTATTGTAGTAACTGTAGAAAGTAAACCCTTTACTTAAAATTGATTTAATGGTAATTTACTAATTTCAAGCTGGCTATACATTAGCATAGAGTGTTGAAATTTAAAAATAAGTTACAAAGTGCTTAAAAATTACAAAATGCCAGAATTAAAGTTGCTTGTGTTATCTTCACTCTGCATCCTTGTACACATGCATTTCAATAATCTTTAAATATATGATCACATCAATTTTTCCCCCTCTCTGAGTCTCCCTTTCCCATCTTATATGATAAATTACTTTTCTGTGCCTAGAAGATTCTGTACAATTTAGCAACACACTGTTCACCAGTTTTAAAACATTACTGCCTAAATGCGTTTTACCTGGGAAACTGTAATCACCTAAAGATAGCCAAAAATCTATTTCTCTGTTTCCCCAGGCAGAACATTTAACAGAACTCTGCATAGTGTCAGTTTCACTGTTTTTCATAGAGTCAGTTTCTCGTATTTGTTATGGGCCATTTCCCTAATAGGAAAATGTTATTGTAAAACCAGAATAATTAGAATGGGGAGACAGGGGTAATCTTGAACCCAAAACTATTTTTTACTCACATCTGGAAACTGACTTGATATCAAGCTAGTGTCACTTTAAATTATGGAAAAACAAGGCCAAAGAAAAAAATTGTCTTCTCCCCCTCAAAATTACTCCATAGCTTTCCCCAATTACAATTTCTTTTTCCTAACATGAGGCTTGAAATTTTTAAGTACATAATTTTAATTGAAAGTATTGAGTGGTTACTGGAAGCTAAGTAAAAGTCTCTTGTGATATATACTCTAGAGGGTACATTAGACTTTGTCAAATCTGTATCACCTGATGATTTCTATAAAAGGTCAAGAGACAAAGTGTTATGATCTTTGATAGACATGTATTATAGGAATTACAATATTGTAAAACAATAAATAAAATGGCCTGTAAGCTGTGTGCTATATTAGTGTTATTGGATCTGCTCCTCTATTGTTTAGTAGCAATATTTATTATTAGATGGAAATAATGTTTTAAATAAGTAAGACCATCAAATTAAGTAATGTTCAAGGTAGAATGTTAAATTTCCATAATAAAAATAGTTAAAAAACAAAAAAAGACAATGGAAAAGTTAAGCTTCTAACAGCAGCATTAACATTTCTGCACGGCACGTCCTGTGTCATTTTATGTCAAGTCGTTTATGATGAGCTGCTACATATTAAGATACAGATATTTATCCTGACAATCAGTTCTGAATTACCACATGCAACAGAGGTACATCAACATTATAGCTGATGCCTTAACTGAGGCATTTCTGCAATTAACTTTGCTTTAATAGGGTTTATTTGCATTTCATGGGCCAGTTTTTTTTTAAAAGGAAAATAAGGTAGCACCAGCTCTTAAAATAACCTATATGATTAAGATGGTTAAGAACCTTTTCTGCTAACTTAAACATTTATGTCAGGATAAGAATATTGTCCAGCTTCTTTACAGCTGAATAAATATTTAAACTAATTGAACTCATTACAGTAAAAAGGCTTCAAGTCACAATCGGCATTGATGTTGCTGGGTTAAGGATTTATGTCACCCCAAGTTATTCCAGATCTTAAACAAATGAGCCCAAAGTTTAAAAAAAAAAAAGAAAAGGAGCATGTAAGTGTGTCCCAAAATTACATACACAGGCAATGACTACATGTGCCAGGTTTTGAAGTCCAGTTTTTTTTTCATTTGGGCATGTGTGGGAAAAATGAGACAATTAAGATTAAAGAAAAGGAAAGTGATTGTTTGCATTTCAACTTATAAAACTCAAAAATGGCTGAAGAGATTTCATTCAAAATTAAAAAAAATATCTCCTTTGGACAGAGTCCAAGCATGGGAATTTTCAGCCTAAAAGTATTTTTCCCCCAGAAAACAAATATCTGTGAAAACAAAAGTATAATGTAAACTGTTTTACAAACTGATTTTAGTGGACACCTAATAACATCCATTATGCTCTTCAAATGTATTCTCAGGATACCGAGGATGTAGGTTATGTGAAGAGTCTGCTTTTATCAATCATTTTCTATAGCAGGACCCTGAGGGTACGTCTATACAGCAGCGTTATTTCAGAATAACATCCGTTATTCTGCTAGTAACAGCTAATAACACAGCTAGTCTGTTATTTGAAATAATCATATATATAGTAGCCCAGTGTCTGAGACTCTGTAACGCTGAAATGCTGGCTGGTCCCTCTGGGCGGTGCTGTTGCCTGAAATGCTGGCTGGTCCCTCTGGGCGGTGCTGTTGCCTGAAATGCTGGCTGTTCCCTCTGGGCGGCCCGTGCTGCATGTGGAGTGCAGGGCCCAAATGGCTGTTTGCGCCGCTTGCTCCCCCGTGGTGGCCCGACTGAGCGGCGCAGAAGTCAGCTGAGTGCCACAGCGAAAGGGGAAGGGGGGAGGGGCGGTGATGTACATGCCCAGGGGGTGGGGCCTGGCCATGTACGTCACCGCCTTGCCCCCCTTCACCTCCTGCTGTGGCGCTCGGCTGACTTCTGCACTGCTCAGCCAGGCCACCGCATGGGAGCAAGTGGTGCAAGTGACCGTTTGGACTCCTTGGTCCCCCGAGTGAGAGTGACGTGCGGCGTGACAGCGGCTCCGGGCCCCGCCCCCTGGCCGTGAACGTCACTGCTCCCCTTCACTTCCCGCTGCTGTGCACGGCTGACTTCTGTACCGCTCAGCCAGGCCGCCGCATGGGAGCAAGTGGTGCAAGTGACCGTTTGGACTCCGTGGTCCCCCAAGTGAGAGGCAGGAGGGGGAGGAGAAGAGAAGGAGAGAGAGGCAGGAGGTGGAGGAGAGCTGAGGGGGGGGGAGGTAGGAGGAGGAGAAGAGAGACAGAGAGCGAGAGAGAGAGAGACAGAGACGGAGCGAGAGACCGGAGGCTCAGGAGAGAAAACCGACGTGGAGGAGAGACCTGAAAATCCCATCTTATGACGGGCTAATTGGCTAGTTTTGAAATAATGGGCAACTTATTTGCAAACCTCATTTCACGAGGAATAAGGCCTCTTCTGAAATAGCTGTGGATGCTCCACTGCTGCTATTTTGAAATAGCATTTCCCCAGGCCATTCAAAGTAATTACTCCCCAGTGCTTCTTGGGGCTCTACATTGAGACAGTGCATCCACATTAGGGTAGCCTGCCTCGGACTAATTTCCAGGCTTCCCTGTAGTGTACATGGACTATTTTGAAATAAGCTATTTCAGAATATTTCTTCCAGAATAGCTTTTTCGGAAATAATCGTGCAGTATAGCAGGACCCTGAACGTGGTGTCATTTTTATTACCTCAGATTGCAGTTCAATGGGCACTTTTTAAAGGCTTTAGGCCAATTTATTCCCTTATGTAATACAACTAAGTCTTGACTTCTGTTGAATCTCTGAATCATGACACTCACAGGATCTCTCTGTGTCAAGTGAACCTAATATGAAAAGAATATAAAATCAGATAGCACCAAGCATCTATTCAGCTCTTTGTGTCTTTCAGGAGTTTATCAGTGCCACCAAGAGACCCTTTCCATCTCAATTGGAAATTGTAGACTTCAAAGAAAAAACTGAGGAAACCAAGCAGCAGATCAACCAATCTGTTTCAGAGCTAACTGATGGTAAGTGAAGTTTAATCCATGAGATCCTACTTAACATCTCTGAAGAAAAACAAGAATTCTGTTCCCTTGTGACATGTTTATTAACATTTTCAGATATAAAATGTATAATGAAAGAGAAAGGAGCATACTTTTTTAGTGTGATCATTAACATTAATTATATTAATTATATTCAGACATAGTTCAGTTTTTCTACTGCATGTTTTTCCCAGACTAGATTATCCTGGTAAGAAACTACACAGCAATTCTGTTATTTCAAAATAAATTCAAAATAACGGATGGCTTATTCTGACTTCTATATATCTCATTCCATGAGGAATAACGCCTATTCCAAAATAGCTATTTTGAAATAGTCAGAGGTAAACAGGATTAAGTTTAATAAAGAGAAATGCAAAGTGCTCCACTTAGGAAGGAACAATCAGTTCCATACCTACAAGATGGGAAGCGACTGTCTAGGAAGGAGCATGGTGGAAAGGACCACAAGTTGAATATGAGTGGACCACAAGTTGAATATGAGTCAACAGTGTGATGCTGTTGCAAAAAAAGCAAATATGATTCTAGGTTGTATCAACAGGTGTGTTGTAAGCAAAACTCGTGAAGTCATTCTGCCGCTGTACTCTGCACTAGTTAGGCCTCAGCTGAAGTACTGTGTCCAGTTCAGGGCGCCACATTTCAAGAAAGATGTGGAGTAATTAGAAAGGGTACAGAGAAGAGCGACAAGAATGATTAAAGGTCTAGAGAACATGACCTATGAAGCCAGGCTTCATGAACTGGGCTTGTTTAGTTTGGAAAAAAGAAGATTAAGGGGGGACATGATAGCAGTTTTCAAATATCTAAAAGGGTGTCACAAGGAGGAAGGAGAAAATTTGTTCCTCTTGGTTTCTGAGGACAGGACAAGGAGTAATGGGCTTAAAGTGCAGCAAGGGAGGTTTAGATTGGACATTAGGAAAAAATTCCTAACTGTCAGGGTGGTCAAATATTGGAATAAATTGCCAAGGGAAGTGGTGGAATCTCCCTCTCTGGAGATATTTAAGAACAGGTTAGATAGACATCTGTCAGGGATGGTGTAGACGGAACTTGGTCCTGCCTTGAGGGTGGGGGGCTGGACTCGATGACCTCTCGAGGTCCCTTCCAGTCCTATGATTCTATGATTCTATGAAATAGCTGCAGCGTGGATGCTCCACTGCTGCTACTTCAAAATAGTTCCTTCCCAGGGGCATTCAAAGAAATTATTCCCTAGTGCTTTAAATCAAGATAGGGTGTCCATATTAGGGAAGCCTGCCTCAGGCTAATTTCGAGGCTTCCCTCTCGTGTAGATGTGCTATTTTGAAATAAGCTATTTTGGATGATTTCTTCCAGAATAGTTTATTCTGAAATCAGTGTACAGTGTAGACGTACCATAAGGGTCCAAGGAGCAGCATATGGAGAATACTTTAGGGGACAACATTCCTAGTTTTTGCCAGCCCTCTGCAGAGTTTGATAGCACTTGCTACTTGGTAATACAAAGCTTAATAGCTCTGTGTATTTATTGAGCACACTCAGGATCTCTGAGTCACTAATGCACCTGATGTTAGGACTATGAAATTAGATGTACGTGGTTCAGGATTACATCTTTCCAGGAGTGGCACAGATGGGATTGTGCAGGTATTTTGTAGTGCCTCTGATGATAGGACAAGAAGCAATGGCTTAAAATGGATCAAAGGAGGTTTAGTTTGGACATTAGAAAAATGACCAACTGTCGGGGTGGTTAATCACTGGAATAAATTGCCTAGGGAGGTTGTGGAATCTCCATCATTGGAGATTTTAAAGAACAGGTTAGACAAGCATCTGTCAGAGATGGTCCTGCCATATGTGAAGGGGACTGGACTAGATGACCTCTCAAGGATCCTTCCAGTCATATGATTCTACAGCTCTCTCTCGAATTAAATTTTCTCATATGTGAGTATAGTGTCTAGCCAACCTCAGTATTAAACAATTGTTCAGACAACAATATTGCTGTTTTCTATTAATGACATCCTTTTTTAAAACACATGTGCACAGGAAAATTTGAGAACATTTTGACTGAGGGGAGTATAGATGACCAAACTAAGATCCTCCTGGTTAATGCGACTTGTTTTGTAACCAACTGGATGAAGAAGTTCCCAGAGGCACAAATCCAAGAATGTCCCTTTAAAATTAACAAGGTATGTTTGGAAATGCATTTAAAGCATCCTGTCTCAAAGTAAGTAAAAGTTTGGAAGAAATAAATCCAGCACAAAGAGCTAGAAATCTTCAGTATTACTAAACTGTAATTTAGCTCATGACTCACAATTATTCTTTGACCAGGGTGCCTTAAACCAGATAACATTTTAATGTATTGGTGTTTCTGTAATCTGAAGAATTACTAGATATATTTTCCTCTGTGCAATGAAGTTTACTACACTATCATTAGAGTTTGACTGACAGAAAGAGAAAACATTAACCGCCATTATGTGAGGGAGAGAGAAGTATGACAAGCAACTGCACCCCAGAGGTTGGATCCAATACCAGAAACAACACCTAAACCAAAGAGGCAGCCAGCACAGAGCACAGAATAGTGATATTAATCACTTAGAATGCCCCCCCCCAGCTCTGAAGCCTTCAGAGATCCCCCAAGTATCCTGAAGAAGTTTGCATTGCAGAAATCCAAGTCTAGAAGTTATAGAACAGCAGATCATTGTGGTGGGATCTCTGTCAAGAGAATGGTTATAGCCTGTGGGCCATCCAGAGACTAAAGAAAGCACAACACACTTTTCAGACTCCATCATAACCCAGAGACTGTAAACAGCTCTAGCAAAGGCTAGTCACACCTCTCAGAGAGGACGTACTCCCAATTCGTGCCCATCCCTCTAAATGCTTTCCTCTCCCCATCTGAACATTCATTTTATTAGGGTGGGGAGACACTAAGCCAGTTTTCTCAAGGGAGAGTATAGACAACAGTGCCCAGGTTCAGCAAGGAGATGGTGCAAAGTTATCTAGATTTTCATGCTACAACTTTGAGGCACCTATGTGAAGGTCATCTACAAACTTAGAACATTTCAGGCCACAATATTTCATTATGTTATTTCGTGAAATAGTATTTCCTTGACTGTTGTAATGAAGACCATTATTTTCTTGCTGTGTCAAGGATAGGTTTGTTCAGTCCAGCTCAGGATCAGTTAATAGTTTTGTGTTTGACAATAGTCAAAATGTTAATGACAGGAAACAGTTGGCTGGATTGCATGGCTGGACTCCAAAAGTTTATTTCAAACTAGTACTAAAATAGCTTATGGAAAATATAAAGGCTACGTCTACACTGGCCCCTTTTCCGGAAGGGGCATGTAAATTTCAGCAGTCGTCGTAGGGAAATCCGCGGGGGATTTAAATATCCCCCGCGGCATTTAAATAAAAATGTCCGCCGCTTTTTTCCGGCTTTTAAAAAAGCCGGAAAAGAGCGTCTAGACTGGCCCCGATCCTCCGGAAAAAGTGCCCTTTTCCGGAGGCTCTTATTCCTACTTTGAAGTAAGAATAAGATTTATTTAAATGCCGCTCCGGAAAAAGTGCCCTTTTCCGGAGGATCGGGGCCAGTCTAGATGCTCTTTTCCGGCTTTTTTAAAAGCCGGAAAAAAGCGGCGGACATTTTTATTTAAATGCCGCGGGGGATATTTAAATCCCCCGCGGATTTCCCTACGACGACTAGAGAAATTTACATGCCCCTTCCGGAAGAGGGGCCAGTGTAGACGTAGCCTAAGATTGTATAAAAGAGGCACTCATAACTTTCTTCTTGTAGGAGAATGGTTGTCAATTCTTGGCTACCTGGTGTTGTTTATGTTGTGCCTCAACCATTTCATAATTAAGTGATTTAGGCTGACTGATGTTGCCATGGCCTTTAGATATTAGAAAATGTAATTTACAATGAAACTGTTACCATAAGCCACCCATCTTAGGCAGTCTCCTGTCTTCAGAGACCTCTCCAAAGTGTTTCTCAATGTATGAAGTAGAATCCTGATCCACCATTATTAGAAAGTCATTTCCATTAAGCTATCCATGTTTGTCATTCTGTAATGATGCCAGATAGGTTTCTCTGGATATGAAGACAAATGCCCCAATCCAAAGAAATGATGAAAGGTACAATTCCCATCGAAGCACACTTTCCTATCTTCCATCCCTGTTGTGAAGGAAGAAATACCAAATTTTCCCTGTATGTTTTACAGAGTGAAACAAAACCAGTGCAAATGATGAATGTGGAAGCTACATTGTGCCTGGGCCATATAAAGGAATTAGAAACGGCAATCCTTGAGCTCCCTTGCCTCAACAAGCACATTAGCATGCTTATTCTGCTACCAAAAGAGATTGAAGATGATACCACTGGCTTAGAACAGGTAAGAAAAACAAGGGAAGCATTCCATTCATAATAATTCTGCTAATAAGATATATTTTCTATATTTCTCTCAAGTTACTTAGAAGGGAAAGGGATACTGGCTGCTTAGGAATTAATCTTCTCCTGCTTCTGTGCACCTGATGTCATATTTGTGGAATTGTATTTTCACCTCAGCTAAAGGAAATCAATTGAAGTGATGCATCTAGGACCAGGTGCTTTTGTAGAGCCTACCTGCTGCCTCTTTAGCCATCTAAATGCCTTTACAAATCTGGGCAAGTGATCTAGTTTCCAAGTTAATGTATATGTGGCCTGGTGATCATAGCAAAGGTACGTAGGCTCCTAACTGTCACTGAAATTAAAGTTTGCAGTGTATTTGTAGCTGTGTTGGACCCAGGATATTAGAGAGACAAGGTGGGTGAAACAGTATCTTTTATCAGACCAACTTCTGTTGGTGAGGGAGACAAGCTTTAGAACTTACTCAGTGTTTTCAAAGCTTATCTCTTCCACCAACAGATATTGGTCCAATAAAAGACGATACCTCCCCCACTTTGTCTTTCTGTTGAAATCAAGGGTAGTTAGGACCTAACTACTTCTCTGGGCCTACTCCCTATAGTCATGGTTGTTGGGTTCTCTTTGCAGCCCTGACACCAACATGTGCAAAGTAAAAAAAGTCACTTCACTTTTGATGCCTCAGTTTACCTCATTTGTCAATGGATCTGACTAATTATATAGCTGTGAGGCGTAACGGAGGCTTTTAACATCTAATTTTGAGCAACGGGTGCCTGACTATCTCTAACAAATTGCTTCTTTTAAACAGTAACTGCACATGAATTACAAGATATTTTTAAAAGCATCTTCTAATCATGAACTACTTTAGTGTCACTTTATAGTAAAGTTATACATGGATGCAGTTTATCTTCATTCACAGTTCAGATGTGAAGGGACAAAGCCCCGCTGGCCTCTGTGCAAGTCAATCCAAGTAAGAATCTTGGATTCTGGCCCTAATTCTGCTGACAGTGCTAACACACTGTGGGTACTGCCATTTATACATTGAAACTGCATTCACATCATGAGACATTCCTTAATTCAAATTGAACATCCTAATGAAATCCCCTGCTCTGCACATCCCTCAGACTTTGGGCCAAATGAAAAGTATGTTTGCAAACCCCAACAAAGCTGATCTAGATCCATATCAGAATTTGGAGTCTTGCATAATTCAAATAGAAGTCATTCCGTTGTTCACAAGCTGGGAACCAGCTGGCCTTGGTTCATGTATGAGCTCTTCCTTTTCACTTGCTGTGTGACCTTGGGCAAATCATTAATCCTGTCCTTGCAATTTTCCTGGGATACTACCTTCATAGGATGGTTGTAATGATAACTCTCATAGTACTTATAATGTGCTAAGACCCAGATTATATTCATTTAATGGAATTACGGGTATATCTACACTACCACCCTAGTTCGAACTAGGGTGGTAGTGTAGACATACCCTACTATAGTAACTGATACCAGTGAGTTAAAGCAGAGTTATATCAGTGTAACTGAAGGCACCATTTATCCTTAGGCATGATAATTATTAGAGAGCAAGGGCAAGTTTAAATCCCTAATCTTTTGAAGGGAGGAGGCAGCAGGGAGTGTCTTTTTCCTCTTAAAGTGACAATTAATAGTCTCCTTTTCCTTTTTTTTTTTTTCAGCTTGAACAGGCACTCACTCCTGAGACATTAGTACAGTGGACCAATCCCAGTGTGATGGCAAATACCAAAGTGAACCTGTTTCTTCCTAAATTTAAGGTGGAAGGGGATTATGATCTGAAGCCCATTCTGGAAAGCTTAGGGATGACAGATGTCTTCGACGAGAATGTAGCAGACTTCTCTGAAATGACCGAGACTAAGGGCACGGTTTTGTCACAGATCATCCACAGAGTCTCTCTGGAAGTAAATGAAGAAGGTGCTGAATCGTTAGAGGTACCAGGATGTCGGATCCTGCAACACAAAGATGAATTTAAAGCTGACCATCCTTTTATCTTCTTGTTTAAGCACAACAAAACTCGTAGCATTATTTTTTCTGGAAGATTTTGTTCTCCATAAATAGGGCATAGCTACTGAGAAAAGCAGAATCCACTTATTGTGATTAGTATTTCTGTAAAGCTTTGCTTTCTGAATATCACCATTTAAAGGTAATCTAAGCTGTTTATATTGCAAACGGGCAGCTCCATGTACTTTTCACATGCAGCAGTCATATACAGTGATGCTATTTTACTCCTTTTGTTTCACTCATCTAAAATAAGGAATTTACCACAGCACAGGAAATGTTACATGTTTCATCAGGAAATACCCCGTCTCCAGCAACAAATATTTGTTTCTCTGATGCATTTCTTTTTCTAAAAGAAAATGAAATCAAAGTCTATTTTCCTGGAATACAGTGAATTGGAATTTCTGAGGGATCTGGAATTTCCTAATGAAAACTGTCTTAGTTTTCCATAGATTTACCTTCTGCTGAGTCCAGAAGCCTTCCCAAACCTCATTGTGTATTTCCACTTTAAAAAATGTGTTGACATTTGGGATTATAGCTCTGACCCCGTGGTTGATTGCATACCAGCACAGTTGTGTGTGTAAGCAGAAATTTATTGGGTTCAATAAGACTCTACTATGGTAGAGCAGTGTGTCTATGCAGTCCATCATAGACACTGGGCCTCTATCTGTAATATGGAATTAACAATTCTTATTCACCTTCATAAACTGCAATGATATCTAGGGAAGAAATGTGCTAAATAACAAATTAATTGATGATAATATTTTATAGCAGTGACAATGAGCACTCTCAGCTGGTGACCTCCATAGAGCTATGTCACTTTACACTAGTGTAGGATCTTGTAGTTGGGAATTTTCCTAACGATGCCTCTTAAATGATGAAACCTAGCAGTCTGTGTAAGTTAACAGAGTGGCATTGGCAGTGGTGAAATGATTAAAAAAAATAAGTGGGTAAATTAATCTAAATTGAACTCCATATTTCTCAAATGAGAAGCTGGTTTATCCTCAACTACACTACTGCAAAGTGACAGTTTCAGCTATAAAGAGCCTATGTTGTGTATATTCTGAAACTGAAAACAGGAAATACTAAATGCACCGAATATTTGCTGTGGAACAGAACTGACAGGTGTCTTAGGCTTGTGTTGCCTATTATTTCTGAAGTAGACAGACAATCCCAGTAGTTAATGGGATGTGTAAAAAGGAAATCCGGAAATTAACATGGGTTAGATTAATATACCGTAAAATCTCAAGTATAATGTGCACCTATGTATAATGCGCATCTGCCTTTTAAAGGTCAGAATTTTTGAATAAACTAAACTCTTATCTATAATGCACACCCCCATTATACTTGAGATTTTAGTATGCATAGGAAAGAAGGGGCGGGCACCTGCCTCGGGGCCCCTTGCCCAGCTGAGCTTGTGCGCGCTGAGCTTGCACCTGCCGTGGGGGCCACTGGGCGCAGCCTGAAGGAGCACCGGGCAAGCAGCGAGACAGGGCACTGCAGCCTGGCAGCGCAGCCGGCACAGCCCAGCCCAGCCCATGCCTTCTCACCCGCCCCCCCCCAGCTCGCGCCTGCCGAGGGTGAGTTTAAAACTTAAAAAAAAATCACCCCGTCTTTGATGCTAAAAAAAGGGGGGAAAAAGTATGCATTATACTCGAGATTTTACGGTATTTAATTCCTGATGAAATGAATGGAAAAATTATTAATGTTTAATCAACAGGGTCTTCATGCTATCTATGACAGCACTCTATATAAATTTAATTCCCCCCTGCATGAGTTCAGTATTGGTTTACCTTATACCATTCAGAATAAAGAATTATCAAAAGAATTGTCATCTGCTTTTAAATTGTGGTTTAAAGGCCAAAAATTTGTTTCTCTTATATTCAGTCCTTTCCTTTAATCCTGTACTATAGATGTTATGGATGGATAGTATTATGCTTTGGAGATCCTTTTAAAAAGAAAATTGTTGTATGGTCATAGCAGCAGCAGGGAAGGTGGTTACTGCATCTCCAGATTGAATGTGTAGGTGTTTTTTTTAAATTGAACTAAGCATCTCTTCTAGCTTTGCAGACCAGATATAAACAGGAAATTTATTTGAAGATTATTTTATTTGTCTAGAAACGAGCGTTCATTTCTAAGGGTTCAAAGCCTCCCAAGTCAGCATGGTGCAATTGATCCTGGTCTTCTGATAGATTGTAGGGTCAGAAAATTCACCTAAGCCTATGAGTCAAGATAATGGGAACCTACACATCAAGCATTACACTGTCAAATGGCTCAAAATCTGCAGTAAGTCCAAACAGATGTGAACATTACAGGCAAGAGACTTCTTTAGGTAGGTCAGAACTGAGAACAGAGCAAAAAGGGATTCCCAAAGCGAATGCATGTGACTCGGGCAACACCTACATTACCACTTATGTTGATATAATTTATGTTGCTCAGGGGTGTGAATAAGCTTCCCTTCTCCCCCAAGCGACATAAGTTACACCAATCTAAGCGCCCATGTGGGCAGCACTGTGCTGGAGGGAGAGCTTCTTGTGCAGACATGGCTACAGCTGCTCATTGGGGTGATGGGAAATCTCTGTCTCTGGGAGGCTTCGAGCAGTTCCACTACACAGCATGCTGCTCTTTAGTATAGCCTTAGCTTCTGAAAATATAGGCCTCTGCCTTCCAGACACAACATTTCTGCATCACAGGGGAAAGCCCTGGTTTAGTGGTTAGCACGCTGCTTTGAAGACAGGAGTTCTGGGTTTCATTCACTGCTGTACTGCAGATTGTGTGTAACTGTCAGCAAACCACATAAGTCCTGTGCTTCTGTTTCTGCATTTCTAAAATGATGGCAATGACACTTCGCAATGTCCGAAGGAGTGAGGAACCTTTTTTTGGGGTGGGGGCCACTGACCAACAGAAAAATCAGTCGGGGGGGCCACACACAAGTGAGAAGCAAAAAACAACCCCCCCCACACACAGCGTTCACTGACCTGTCTCCCAATGAAAAGGAGGAAAACCCCCTCACACATATGTGGCCCCTGAACTGAGAAACAAGAAAAAAGACACTCTCCTCACTCCCCTCAAGCTCCAATCCCACAGGAGTGGGGTAGGAGAAGCACAGAGGCTCAGAACTTACCCAGGGCTGAATTAATTCTTCTGGGAGACCAGAGCTACTGAATTTTGTGTCTCCCCTCCCCAGACTTTGGGGTGGGGCCAAAATGAGTTCAGTATGTGTGTGTGGGGGGTGGGGGGAATGCCAGGGAAAGGGCTGGGGTAGGGGTGTGGATAGGGAAAGGGCTGGGGGAGGGGTGTGGGATCTGGGCGGGAGGTAGGGTGCAGGAGCAGACTGAGGGTGCGGAGTCTGGGCAGGAGGGAGGGTGCAGGAATGGGCTGGGGGTGCAGGGTCTGGACAGTTGGGGGTTTAGGGACAGGGTCTGGGTGAGCAGGCAGAAGAGTGCAGGAGTGGGGTGAGGATGCAGGGTCTGGGCTGGAGGGGGACAGGGTATTGGGGCACCTACCTAGCTCCATGGGGGTTGCAGGTGGCTCTGTGTGACCCTGCGCACTGCAAGGAAATGCTCCCTGCAGGCATAGCTCCCCCACCCCAATCTATTGACAGTTATTTCCAGCAAATGGGAGCAGAGTGTGTGGGGGGCAGTGACTGTAGGGAGCACTTTCCTGCAGCATGCAGAGCTGCTTCTTCCCCCTACCTGGCACAGCCTGGCTCATGGTTTTTCTTGGTCAGGCCTATGAGAGCGGAGGGGGGGGTGTCTCCCCACAGCGGGGAGCTGGCACGGGTGTTCCAGCAATGGTCTCCCCTACCATGTTGCTGAAGCACCAGCGTCGACTCGCCCTGAGCCTTGTGGGCTGGATCAAGGGAAGGCTGCAGGCTGCAGGCCGCAGGTTCCCCATCCGTGCTCGTAGGTGTGACTGGAAGGCAAAGCCATCACAACTGGGAAACGAGGGGTGGCAACCATTTAGTAGGATTCTCGTGAAGTAGTTCACTTCCCAGCAGGTTGCAAGTACCTCTCTCCTTCTGAATGGATAGTCTCAATGACAATCAGCTAACACTATGCAAAGAAGTGAGAGGTAACTAAGGGTATGTCTATGCTGCAAGCAAAAGCCTGCAGCACTAGCATCCTGAGATGTGGGAGGGTCCTCAAGCTGGGGCTACAGCCTGAACATTTAACATGAACTGCAATCCAACAGCCCCACAGCCCAAGCCTTGAGAGCCCAAGCGAGCTGGCATGGCTCAGCTGTCTAATTGCAGCAGGGTGAGCAAGAGCCTGTCAGCAGGCCGGATCCAGGCTGCCTAGCTCTTTTATCTGGCCTGTACTGCAGTTTCTGGCCCTGCCTGCAACGGGTTGCCTGGGAGCCAGAATGCCCTTTCAACGGCTTGTATTTAAAGGGCCCGCGCCTTTCCTGTGGCTGACAGGAAATGGCAGCCATGGGGAAGGTGCGAGCTCTTTAAATAGAAGCAGTTGAAAGGGCTCTTGCATCCCCGGCTCCCAGGCAACTGATTAGCAGCGAGGCTGGGAGCAGCGAGCCCTTTAAATAGCAGTTAAAAGGGATCACAACTCCCACCCCCTGCTATCGTGATGCCTGGGAGCTGCAGGGGAGGTGTGAGCCCTTTCAGCTCCTGCTATTTAAAGGCCCTGCCCCTTCCACCCAAGGCCCTGCCCCTTTCGGGGAAGCCCGTGACCACTTCAAAAAATTTTGAAGTGGCTGCCCCCTCAGAAATTATTGCCCACCCCTGCAGTGTAAACATACTTCAGCTGGCTAATCCTTTTTGTAAAGTGATCTTGTGAGCAAAAAACCCAGAGCAATAGGCATTTTGGCTACAGATCTGACTCTCCAAATTCCTTTTTTTATGCCTGCCAGTTTCAGAAGAATGGAGTGTTCAAATATTCTATGTGGTGAGTAAGGCTCAGTTCCACAGAGTGATTGAGGCTTCTAATTTCCATGGGTGTCAATGGAAGTTGGGAACCTAAATATGTCAATCTTCACTTGCTGCAACTTGCCCGCTAAACGGAACCTCACACGCATCCTCCTTCCACGACAATTACAATTCAAGGCTTTTTAGACCTAATGCCACCTACTATGAGCTGTTATCTCACTGGAACTCACCACCTGGTCAGGACTGGGCCTGGACAGTATTTGTTGGGAAAGCTCCTAAGAAACACTTGTGGCAGGTATTGTGGAAAGTTCTCTTACAGATTCAGTAGGTGGTGTGATGCCCTTGGGGACACAGGGAAGTGCCAAAGTTGCAGTTGAAGAAAGGGTTCTGAAGGAACACATCTACTACAAGTCCATGGAACTGATTGGTCTGCTCACTAATACCAAGCTCTCTTTTATTGTACACATCTTCAATCTCTATGTAGTCCTCATCACCACAGTGTCTGATCCCTCACAAACATTAGAGTATTAATGCTCACAACCCTCCAGTAAAGTGGGGAAGTGCTATTGTTCCCATTTTACAGATGGGGAAATTGAGGCATGGAAACTAAGGTCCTTCCCTAAGGTCCTTCATGAAGCCTCAGGCACAGCATGAACTGGAATGCAGGTTTCCCAAGTCCTAGCCTAGTGCCTTACTTAGTGAAACTTCCTGCCTCTTCACATTATTCCTTCACATAACTCAGGAAAGAGGCAACATCACTTGCCAAACAAGGAAATTTGTTACCCTTTATTCTTAAAATGCAGGATGCTTTTCCGGAAAAGCACTTTTTCCGGAAAAGCATCCGTGGCCAATGTTGATGCGCTTTTCCAGAAAAAAGCCCCGATCGTCATTTTCGCAATCGGTGCTTTTTTGCGGAAAAGACTACTGTGCTGTCTACACTGGCCCTTTTCCGGAACAGTTTTTCTGGAAAAGGACTTTTGCCCGAATGGGAGCAGCATAGTTTTTCCGGAAAAACACTGACAATTTTACAGTAGATCGTCATTGCTTTTCCGGAAAAGCAAATGGCAAGTGTAGACAGCTGGCAAGTTATTCCGGAAAAGCGGCTGCTTTTCTGGAATAAGTGGCCCAGTGTAGACACAGCCGTGGTATGTAACCCTTCTTCCAGGAGGAGTTGGCAGGAAAAAGGCTGGGTTCAATATATAGAGGTTTCTCTTAACCAGGGGTGAAAGAAACTTAAATTTCTTACAGATACTGTCCTAGCACAACCCAAGTCCCTTCCAGCTCTTTAAATAGCTCCCTGCTGGCTTTTGCTGCAGCTCAGCCAGTTCTAGCTGAGGCTGAACACCCAGGTGCACCGCTTTACTTTCACCTCTGGTCTTAACACAATACTGGATCAACTTGAGTCCCACCCAGATTTCTATCTGGGAAAAATACACATCCGTGGGTGCTTCTCAAAGGCCATACTTCCTCTCTAGCAAACAGTCTGGCTGTGTCTAGACTGGCCAGTTTTTCCGGAAAATCAGCTGCTTTTCCGGAAAAACTT